GTGCCTGCTGAAAGTAGTTAAGTGTTTGGTCACTCACTTCAAAGAGCCAGGATCACACAGTCTGGCTTCAAGTTTTTAAAGTACATGACAAAAACAAAACAGAAATCCCCAAACCAGGCTCCCAGAAACCGTAACATGTAAAGGGAATTGAGAAGTTACAGACCAAATCTAAACTTTGACAATTCACTCCTTATTATCTATCGTATAAGCCTGTTTCTGCATCTGTGATTTCTATACTCTTATACTTGACTTTAAAATCTTTGGTTTACAAGCCAAACCCTAACTGGTAACCCAAACCTTCCCCTCCCTCCATCAATGCATGATCACGCAGCAGTAGATCATGAACATACCTGTATTCTTCCTCTTCTTTGGAGTTCTTTTTGGGTTGGTATTTCTTTGAAAGATTCCTAAAATTAAAAGCACATATATATAAAATTAAAGCGGTCTTTAAATTAACTGGAAAATCTTTGCATGCACACACATTCTGTGGGGCTTCAGTTTTTATTTGCAGTGACCAGATACCTTTCAGAAGTACGACTGCTATTAGACTTTGATTGCATTGTAGTAGCACTCAAAGAATGGGCCGCACAATGCTTCAGCCTCTTATAACTGCAAGAAAGTAGCAGATTCTGAACCCCAGAAGCTAATAAATTAAGGTCATGATGTCAATACACCCAAAGTTCTGGTTGTGCTGATGCACAAGTCTCCTTCACCTGATGTAAAGGAGAGACCCTTTTACAGCAAAAGAAAAAAAATGGTCCTTAGACACGCAGACATGCTTTACAAACTCTACCCAGCAGAAGGTGCTGCTCCATATCCAAAGGTCAGCCAGCCCATTAAAGTGTGATGTGCTGCAGATGACACTCATGGCCAGGCCAATTTGCCTGCCTTTAGCAGGATGCTTCCAAGGAAGAGAAAATTTTTCATAAAGCATCACTGAGATGACAAAAGGGGGATCATTTTATGATTATCAACTGATGCTTGGAGAAATGTGAAATCTGATTATCCCAATTAGCACAGATGCTTGCATCTCTCATTATCCCACATCCAGCTAATGATTTAATTTTAAAATATTGATATGCTCTTCAAGTGATCATATCTTGAACAAGAAATTTGAACATAACTCTGTTAGCCCACCTCACAGTATATAGGTTCCGTTGTCTTGAAAGTACTAACTGCAAGCCCCCAGCCAGCAGCACATCAAGGGTTTAATGAACATGTGCTGTCCACCCGACACAGAACACACCTTGCTGATACTTAAAAGCTCAACGTTACGATGCATATTGCACTGTAGCACAATACAACACCACACATCTTTTAAACAACGCAAACCAGAGAGCTGACAAATCTTACTTAGCAATTTTAAGACCTTTTCAATGATGCAGTACTGGCACCTCCTCTGTTCGAAACTCAGCCCTATTACTATATATGCCTTCCTGCAGCCTCTGTTATCCTACTGCAAAATGGAAACCATTTGTTTTAGCTTTACAACAGTTGTTTCAGTGATTAAGAGTAACATACAAGTGGTATTGATGGAATCATTGTCCAAAGTTTCATTGACCTATCTATGCCAAACTCTTTGGAGGACTCCCAGAATGGATCCAGTTGAAAAGAAACTGCTTTTTCAGAGGTGTAACCCACTCACTGTTGTATGCTGGTTTTACTGCTAACTGGGAGACAGCATGGCCTATTCTCTCACATTTCTTATTCCTTTTGTTCTCCTTAAGAAATTAAGAAGCATCTGCCCAAACAGAGTAATAGCCAGAACACTGGCAGATTTGCAGAGACAAACACATGTTTCTCAAAATTTAAGTATCCCTACTGGAAAGGATCCAAATGAGCATCTCCTTTCCAGTCTCTGCCTGCTCTGAAAAGAACATGCTCTGAAACAATGAACTTTTCTCTAGTTCTGTGTACAGCAGCTTCAACCAAAGACTACCAGTATGGCAGGAATCTGCAAACTGTTCTGCATGATTACAGTAAGTCTTACAGCAAACTCTGTATGCCATGGGAATGCTTCCCTCCACACACCTGCTTAAAGAGGAAAGAAAAAACCACAAGAAAACATGCACAGAAGACTACGCTAATAAGGCATTTTCACACACACACTAAAAACGCACCGTCAGGCTGCTCAATTAATTCTGACATACAGAGCTGCTGTCTTCTTGTGAACCTTTTAAAGCTGTTGAAATGCTACTGAGCTAGGGCAAAAAAATTCCAGGCTATGCTTTTACACAAAAAAAAAAAAAAAAAAAATTCTGAAAGCATGTAACAAGTATTAGCATCTGGGTTAAACATCTTATTTGCTATGTACTTTGTAAAACACATAAAATACAGATTCTATATATTGGAGCTCTTTGATTTTTCCCCCCTTTTTTAAATCAAAAACATACATAGAGTTTTAAACACGATACACACAGAAAACCCAGAAGTGATACTGAATCCAGAAGCATTGCTGAAGTTCAGCATGCAATTGTGCAGCGTCATGACCAGAACGAGCACTACCCAGGTTCAAGCTCATGAAGCGATGACACCTTCAGAGCCAAGAGTGGCTAAAGAGGGAACTAACACATAAGAACAAAGACCAGCAGTAAAACAGCAATTCTGCAAAGATTCTGTGCTAGCCTGTGCACCTGTCTCCGATTCATGTTTCTATTTGCTTTTCACTCTGCATCATTTTTTCTGCCTTTCCAGCTTGTTCCCCTGCTCCCTTGTTTCCACGTCTTTGCAATCTTGCTCTTTCTCTCGCATTTATCATCCGTCAGAGGTTCCCGATTCTCAGATTATCCTGGTATTAAGCATTTTTTTCTAATACATCTTCCTCAGGGCTATCTATCCATCATCACATTAGGCAGGGTTTTTGACACGCTGTGCGTGCGCTGTGAGGAGAGTAGTGACTAGAGAAGGAGGACAATGACACACCACTTCAGCACCCAGAGCACAGCGTCCAGCGTATCAACACCCAGTGGAAGTTCAAAATAAAACAGAGGAACAAGCGAACACCCTATCATCGTTTCTGTATACCTTCCTTCCCAGCCTAGTTTAATGACTCAACAATTATAATGTAAAACAATTAAGAAAACAGTCACACCAAATCTGAACTGGACTCTCAAACCGGGACTGACTGTAAATGGTACAAGCTGGACTCGAACAGTGCAGGCACAACATGTAAAGTATGGGACACTGGGGAGTTTCTTCCACTGGAGTAACCAGATAAATTTGATGTATCCTGCAAGTATGTAGATCTAACTTAACACTTTTAAAACAAAATATTACATATGTATCTTCAGAATTATAAAGATTATAAAGAGGAGGGAAAGAAATGTTTTTAAATCATTAAACTTCAACAGATGACCAGGCTGAGATGTGACAGACAGGACGAATAGCTAGCTCGTGAGTCCAGAGACCAAGCAGTAAACACAAGTTTCACAAGGGAAAATAAAGTTCAGCCGCTTTACTTACACTACAAATAAAACTTAAGAGTTAAATCCACAGGAGTATCTGGTGTTAACTTGTCCCTTTTTAACAGTATGTCTGCATGTTATGACATGCAGTGATATGCTGCAGCCCTTTTACATCAAATGGATGTGACACAAGAAAGGTCTGCACCAGGCTTGAGGACTTATTAAAAGCAGATGCATGATTTTTTTTTTTTTAATGTCCAGCACTGTTTTATCTCAACATTTGACAAGTCTGCATTTTTGTCTTTCTTTTATACCTCTAACTTCTTATTTGAACCCAAACAGTATTGTATTCAAGAGCTCCTCAGGGATGAATGTATTAGTCCTCAAATCATATCGGGGGGAAGACACAAATGCAGCTACATGTGAGGAATTAAAATACAGAGAAAAGAAACAAGTTGACCAAGTTTTTCTGGAAGTCTAAGACAGAGTAAGAAAACAAAACTCAGGGGCTCACAGTTTCTAGATAGTCACAGGTAAAACTGTCTCCCACTTTCTTCAAACATTTTGTTTGTGTATTTATTTTCATAATTACACTCCTTACACCTGAAATTTGTCATCCAAAGAAAATCAGCGAGTCTAGTGTGTGATTCTTCATAAGACAGGCCTGCTCACACAGATACTCTGCTGGGGTTTCCCAGTCCAGTCATCCTCTCTTTCTTCCAGCTCATTTTGCCTCTGTAATTCAATCTCTTCTCATCTCCACAGGAGCTATTTGTTCCTGCACAAGTAGTTTTCTATTTCCTGCTTGTCTATGGCAGAAACCCTGGGGAATCCTTGTAGCACTCCCCTGAGAAAGCACATAACCATGAAGACAAGGTTTTATCAACTACCAGCTCCTCATAAATAACAGGCCATTGTGCATCTCAAATCTATTTTAACACAAGCATCAAAAATTCTGGGTGATTTTTTTTTTTTTAAATAGACATTGTGCTTTATATATATACAGATCAACTACAGCCTCAGATCTCGATCTCTATAAATACTGAGAATCACAGAATCACTAGGTTGGAAAGGACCTTCAAGATCATCAAGTCCAATCATTAATCCAGCGCCACCATGTTCCCTAAACCATGTCCTGAAGTGCCACATCCACACGTTTCTTGAACACTTCCAGAGATGGCGACTCCACCACCGCCCTGGGCAGCATATTCCAATGCCTGACCACCCTCTCAGTGAAGAAATTTTTCCAAATATCCAATCTAAACCTCCCCTGGCGCAACTTGAGGTTCTAATACGTATTATGGTCATGCAAAAAAAAAAAAGTACAGATTTACTGGAGGGGTTAGGAAGGATTAGTTCTGCACTCCCCTCCCCAGTTAGCTCCACCATCTCCAATTTATCACCCTGGACACTAGTAGCTGCCAACAATATTGCACCACAGCCTCTCCACAGCAGCAGGACCATCTGTGCATTGTACTCCCTTCTAACCCCTGTTCACCTCATTTTCTCTACCTTAGTGGGAAAAGCAGGGCAAGAGCTACTCACTGGATTTGACCTCAAAGAATACATTTTCGGGGTCTGGTTCACATCCACTTGTCTCTCTACCCACAGCCTGATGGTTGAACTAGACATGTAGAACATACATAGCAGGAATTTCCAGTAATGTAGCTACTTAGGATAAATTCACAGGATCTCTGCTCTGATCAGGATATACATCATAAGAATAGTGGCAAGATTATAAAACTATAAAAATTCAAACCTCAGGCTGCAACCTGGCTAACTACATAGACAAAATTCCCAAGGGCTGGGACTTTCCGACCTGCAGTTTCTGCAACAGGCATTCATAAAGAGGCTCTCTTATGAACAGAAACCCTAAACTTTGCCTTACAACAAGTGATCATTATTCCTCTGAATTCTTAAACCCTTCAGCATTTATGAGCAGCAGTCCTAATTTCATGGAAAACATTACAATGCTATCCTCAAAGCCTGAGCCATTAATCATGCATAAATCGTGAGTAAGATGCAGCATCCTACTCAGTCACCTAAATAAAACCTTCCTTTTTGCAATGCATACGATTTTTAGCAGAGATAATAAACAGTATCTTAAATTAACTTTAGCTTTCCATTCTCTAAATTAAAGCTATTCTCTAAAAGCCATTATTATAAACCAAATTACCACCACTGAAACAGTCAACTTCCAGGTGATTACAGGCTCTGGAACAGATGCAACCCCAAGTCCAGAACTTTACATACCAACTTACCTAAGTTGCTTTGCATAGCTGAGTTCAATCTCTGTTCTTTCTTTTACAAACTTGATGTATTTTTCCAGAACATCAATACCCCATTGCGTGTGTTTCTCTAAGTTGTCAAACTGGTCCTGCAATGAATAAAAACAAAAGTTTGGTCTTACTGAACACAGAGATAACTAAAAATAATTTCCAAAGTGCACATCACCACAAAGAAAGTGTTATTAGTATTTTCCATTACCACAGTTAGACATTCTTGTAGCGACACAAGTTTTTAATCGACGGAAATATGTCTTTTAACATGAAACCAATTCACTAATTTTCTTCATTCCTCATTTCTGAATCAGTTGCATTTCAGAAATGCTGGCAATTCTTCTGAAGACAATCTTCTAATACAAATACATACTTAGACAAAGGATAAGAAATCGATACTCTTGCCAGGATTTTATTTTAGTGTGAAGAGTTAATAGAAGTTCCATGAATTTAAGGTCTACTCTTAATTCTGATTTTTGTCTGAAAAACAGATTTATACTCAAGCTTTGTCACTATTATTAATTTAAAATACCATTTAGAACAACTAACAATCTTTACAGAACAGAATATACTTCCCCTATAGCCTGTTTTGTTCTAAAACAGAACATATGCTAATAAATGACGCTACCAAAAAAAATGACATTAGCTATGTTTACAGCAAGTTTTCTTGTCTACCTCCATTTATATGCAGATGTTACTTTGTTCTTCAAATATTGTTGCCCTCAAACAGTCACACATGTTTTCAATAAAATCTTTTTCAATCAAGAACATTCCACAAGTCAGTTTGGGATTTGCAATTGCCAAGAGAAATTAAGCAACTCTAAAACCAAATTAATTATCCAAACCAGCTTATTACTGTCTGCAGATTTAACCTAAAATTACCTTTTTTTTTTTTTTTTTAAATTTGGTTACTTCAACAACAGTCAAATTCCATAATCATCCATTCCACACAGTATTTCAGAAGTTGTATTTTTCAAGTCCTGTAGAAACACTTTAAGCTGTGATACACTGAATACTTATCCCTACAGAAACAAAGCATAAACAAGGTCTTCAGTATCAGCCTGACTTATCTGCCATCAGGTTCCATTATGGTTTACATGGAAAATAGAGAGTAAGTTTGTGCATCTGCAGCACAAAGGTTAAATTTACAACATATTCCAATAAATTGTACACAGCAGTAGATTTTGGGTCCGATGCTTAGCTGCCACTATTAAAGCTTCTGACAGAAGCGATGCTTCTATCTGCCAAAGACTTGGTCTTGTGACTTCCAGTTTGCAGAGCCATCATCCAATGTTATCAAAGCAATACAAGCCCACTTCCTTAGATGCATAGAGCAGAAAAATAACCCAAGACTACTACAAAGCCTGGCTTATGAATGTGTTGCTTTTGAGCAAATACCACTTTCTGCTTTATAGCGTATCTGGCTCTGACAGTGAATTAGATCAGCATCAGGAGAGATTCTTCCATCATTGAACAAAACAGTCATGTACACAGAACCTGCTACTTGCTAACAAAACGGGTTTAACTGAATTTTGAAGGGAAGAAATAGGAACCATTTAGAGGTGGAAAATTTGCAGAACTCTAGCAAGAAGCTAGTTAAGACAGCAAGTAATATGCACGTAATAGGACACACAGGGTTCACGTATCTGCATATTTGCTCTGGTTTAGCCTAGGGTACTATTTTAAACCAGTTCAGCCAAAACAAACCATGCTTCAATTTAAATTATGTCAGTTTTAGTCAATTAAAGACGCACTGAGGGCAAAACAGCAAAAAGGGCAATAGTATAAAATTACAAAAAATAGTAAAGAACTTCTAAGCCCCATGCTCCAGGAACTAAGAAAAAATGGTTAAGGATAACTGGGAAAAAAAAAAAAGAAAAAAATTTCAAACTACTTAGAATAAAAGCCTGACTTCCAGCAATATAAATCACCCTTAAACCAATGTAACATCATTCACTCAAAAAGAGGATGCATGTATTCTGCAGAAAGGGAAGACATGGACTAAGCCAGTACATACTTGCATATAGATGAATCCTTGTTTCACACAATTTCACAGCTGGGGAGAATACAAAGACAACATGGGTAACATCACGGACCTCTCCTCCTCCCTGGGGCTCAGATCAGGAAGGAACACGGTGTGCTATCTGGAGTACGACACCCGCATGACGAGGCACCTTCTGTTCTGCTTCAAATATACAACCTCTACATCTCTCAAATTATGCTGGCATCAAGAAAGTAGTGCAAACATGGCCTTTTCAAGGTTTCTGATAAAGAGGTCTTACAGCTATCCCACACCCTACTCTTCCACAATTTACATTATTTAACATAAACACATGCATATAAAATAAATACCCCACGGGGTAGTCCATTACTCACAAGTTTATATGCATTCACACACACTCACAACTTTGAGAAGGGAAATCTCAGGAAGGCAAATCCACTCCCTAATCCCTGCAAGCAAATTAAATCACTTTTATCAGATATACCACACTAGTAGAAAGAAATTAACTTAGCATCCTACTGTAACCCCATCCAAAGAGGAAAGGTCATGGTTTCCCATAGGAAAGAATGCCTTTCAAGGAGGTCCTGCCTTTCAAGATAATTCAGGCTGCTGACTGCACAGAAAGCTAGAGCAGGTTCACCCTGGAAAGGCAATCTTGGCAGTGGCTTGTCCAAACCTCTTCCACCACCATCACCACAACCCTTACTCATTTTTCAGAGCATCATTTAGATCAGAGCATGAGTAAAAACCTGAAAATGGTTCCTGGTAGCTGCCTCAGTTTGGGCTGTTACTCCATAGGTGGATCTTCCGGACTGTTTCAGCAGCATCACTATGTCAAATTTGACAAAAGAAAACTCCATGATGTGCAGTGCAAAGGTGAATACACTGCGGTGCAGCTGTCAGACAGACCAACTGTGTGAAGATGCTATATATCTATTTATAAAGTGAGCAGAGACACTTGTCCTGCGCCGAGCTGTAACCAGAAGAACCTCAACCAGATAAGCTACAAGCACTGACCTCTGCTACCAAGAAGCAAGACAAATTTAGCTTTCTGCAGACTTTGCTAAAGAGGAGAGATTCTGTCCTTTCCTGGGTATGAAACAGTTCTGGCCCAAATGCCATTTCACTAAGCAGCCAATGCCCCACAACAGTGTTTTACACTGGGGTCATGTATTCCATTATCAGTTCCCTTTTCTGTGTTCCTTAAGGAGGGAAAAAAGTCAGTAAAATTGCCAAAACCATCAGTTGCTGATCATGAGATTCCAAAGGAAAGGCAGAGCCACCAGAAGGGCCCAACACAGATAGCCCTCCTTGTTTCAGGGATCTTTTCAACAAGCTGAAGGTAGGCAGAGGCTCTGTGTTAAAGCTAAAGAATTGTAGGGGCGACACAGGATGCTTTGATCGTAAAGCATAACCTTTAATTCATGGAATCCCAAAATCCATGTTCTGCAAATCAATGCAAAAACAGAACCCCTAAAAAGGAGATTTTTGAGAGTACTTAACAACAATATCATGCCTTCAAACAATCAATATTAAAAAGATTTTTTTAAAAGTTATTTCCAAAGTTCATTACAAAAATGCACATGGAATCTGAAGACTTAAAAGATCTCAACTATTCTGCATCACATTTGGCCTAGTTTTAGTATCCTTAACAATGAGATTTTCACCTTTCTCCATAGCAGAGTGCCTCCCACAAAAGACTTCCCAGAAGCAGACTGCTAGAAAAGTAAGTTCTTCAAAAGATTCCCAAACTCTGGTATTATGTTTCATGTCAGTTTTCACTGAACTCCAGAATCATTTTATAACTTAAAAAAAGCTCTTCATAGTAATTAATCCCAGGGGGTGGGGAATGAACCTTATGAAGGGGACAATGTCATCATTAAATTAGCTAGTACTTTGGTTAACTTAAGCACTTGTAGCACCAGGCCTAAGCAGCTTCTTGTACTCAAACAGGAAAACTCAACAAGGATTTTCAAACACAGAGATCAATAAAGGTATCAGTGTCCTACTGAAGCCAGGAAGAAGTTGGTGGCTGGGGAAGCATCTGCCTTACAAAAAGAAGCAAAAGTGCCGCGAGTGAGGATTTATCTGTCTATGCTCTGAAGGAACTTGGCCCAACAACCAGGAGCAGCCTAATGAGGCGAGCACAAGGTTTCAGAATGAAGTGCACCATCCCTGCCCGTGACAGATATGGGTTTAGCAGGTAAAGTGTGCCACTACAGCTGTGCAGGTTCGGTCATCAGCTGGAAGATGGCTCAGGTACCTTCATGAGCTGTTGTTTCAGCTTTTAATTTCAATATACATATTCTCCTCCATTCGTTTTTGCAGCCTCCTCGCTCTTCCAGTTAAGGATAACAATTAGAAAACAATAAATTTCACAAGGCTTTAGCATTCTTCAATAAAAGCAAGAAAACAAGACAAGAAGCATGACACAGTGTTCAGCAAGAGTGCTCCCACCAGACCACAGTGAGAGGGGAAACAAAAGGTCACTTTGCACCTGCTTTCTCTGAAAAAGAAACACCAAAACATTTTCCAGAAGCATTCACTACTTTCCTCTGACTCAGAGACTGGTTTACATCCAAGAACCCTCTTGAGCAAAATACTGCACTGATGAGCTGCGTACCACAGCAGGCTCCCACCACAGGCTTCACGTTACTGCCTATGTCTTTTGGCCTTCCAACTCGCCAAATCTCATGTTCTCCTATTTTCAAGTCCCTATGCTTACTGTGATATCAACAGCTTATTAAAAAGAATGCTTTTGATTGACAATCAAGATGTGCACGTCATTAAACTACTCATACAGCCATAACTTGCTCCTCTTCATCAGCTTCCACTGGCTTCCCAGTGACCACAACACGGGCCAGTACAAACACTTTGTGCCTTCCCCAGGCAATGGAGGAGTTTGAATCTACGAGCTTGACGCACCTGACTTCACGTGGGTGGGAGAGCAGAGCCTCTGCTGCAAGCTGCTCGAAACAAACAGCGTCTTCGTATTTGTTCAGAGCTTAACACATTCTTGAGCATGCACACAAAAATTTAAGCTCAAAAGAGGAAAGAACAACTTTAGTCATTAACTAGAATGGGAATTGGACATCC